ATTAGTATTAGTATTAGTATTAGTATTAGTATTAGTATTAGTATTAGTATTAGTATTAGTATTAGTATTATTTATAATTTGATTTTGTTGGGAGTAGATTTTCTTTGTATAGTTTAGTTACTTGAATGGGAAGGTGCAAAACACCCAAACTAACAAACAGTAAGTCTTTTTATTTTTTCATTTATATATATATAATATTAGTTGAATCTTTTTATTCTACTCCTGTCCTGTCGGCGTCTTAAGATTCAGATTTCTGCGCGATCGAGTCCAAAGTCGTAAACGTCGTCGGTATTTCTCAAAAACTATTGTAAAAGAAACTATATTATATTTGATCTTCGCGGGGTATTTCAAGCAGAATATAAAATAATAAGCATAGATTTGTTTATTATTTTCTAAGATAGCACTTTACGATGATAAATTAAATCCTCTTCCACTATCTGTAATATTTACTATAAGCAACAGGAAGTTGTAGTTTTTCATTTTGGATTCGTATAATTCTGCTTGCTGTTTACAGTGTTGTCCGAATACGAATTTGACACAATGTCGTCCGCATTACTGTTAAATTGGTTATGACTTAAATAAGAACCGTTACTTCTTCTTCTTCTTCTTCTTCTTCTTCTTTTTTTTCTTTTCATTCATTAGGGATTTATTTCACTTTATTGCAGGTATAGCGCACTTATTGTTGACTTATTGATCATGAGTAGTAATCCCCATATTTGATTTACCTCGCCGGTACATACAGCCGCGCGCAGATATATTTGAAGTAAAGAATCAGGTAGTACAATATCAAAAGGAAGCGTTAATGGGTTTTCTTCAGCAATGTAATCAAAACCGGGCGTCTGAGCTTTTGCTACTTCGTTTAGTAGTCATTAAAAAAAACTGCCAACCACTTCGCCGAGGAACCTCCACTAGTTTAACGCCGCTACGTCGACGGTACCTTACTATGAACGCCTAGTAGAATCTTCCTATGATCATCAGAACAGACGGCAGGATCCTATTGTCAGCTTTACAGTGGAATATTACACCAATAATGGCATCCCTTTCTGGATACGCTGAACAAGAGCAAAAAAGACCGACTGATCGATATCTCTATCTACAGGAAAAAGACGCACACAGACAAATATATGAATTTTACAAGCCACCATTCATCACAACATAAAGCTGCTGTTGTTCGGAGATCTTCAAACATAGAGGCGACTGCCTACTAACACTTGTACACCAGGGCCCGGTTGTACGAAGGGTGTATAGCGCTATCCGACGGATAAATCTTATCCAGTGGATAAATTTATTGGATAACAGCATCGAATTATCGGCCACTGTATAGGACATAAGTCCCGACAGAGAAGATAACAGCTAGGTGTAGTCTATGCTATTCCGCGTGATGAATGCTATGCCTTCTACGTGGGCGAGACTGGAAGATCCTTAAGCTCCTGAAAACGTGAACACAACAATGCAGCCAGAAAAACCTGCGTGGGCTGAGTATACGCATGCTGCCAGAACAGCCCATGGGATGGAAATACTCCGGCCAAGGTAATCGGGAAAGAACTAAAATACCATCACAAAAAATGGCTAGAGTCCTGATCGTATATCACGACCAATAAACGCTCATTAACAAACAGAAGCAGTAGTAGAAGATTACCATTTACGTTTGACTAGTAGAGCGCGCGGAGGGCTAACACAATTTAACTTGTAATTTCTAGCATAAAATTATTATGACGACGAAAAATACCATCGTAATCTCTGAAGCTGGCCACTAATGCCCGAAAGCCAGAGCTGGGAAATAAATCGCTAAGATGTATTGCAGATACATTTAATTTACGATACTTGTGCCTTAATATTGTAATTTTCAAATCCATGCCAAATCTCATTCCAAATTTTCTTTTTGTGGTTAATTTTGATTCTAGATATAATCTTCAGTAGCAGAACGAAATTTTAAAAATCCCACCGAGAGCCATCACTTCACCTGTTCGTTTTTCTCTTTATTTTACAAGGCCGACATGCAACACTAAACAAGCACTGAAACGTGCAAAACCTGTGGCAGTTTTTATAGCGTAATTTATCTTGATCCTTCGTCTTCTAARGAGCGTAATTTATATATCTCTGCTTTTTTACGCCATGTATATTGGATAAATATTAACCTCTAATTTGGATTCGCAAAAAGAGGATTGTAAATTAGGAGAAGTCAGTTTCTTCAAAACGCTAGAGTGCAAACCATTTGTATAGGAAATCGCACGATCTCGAGTACAATTCAGAATTCAGTTATAAGTGCGAGTGATGTTTTGAAAGTTTTCAAAATTGGACGAGCCTTTACGGGAAGATTGTGCGATTTTTTGTTTAAAATACACTCAACAAAATTTAGCAACTTAATTGCGACTCTACAGAGTACCGATTTGGGATTTAATTGTACTCCTCTTGTCCAATCAGTAATTTTGTACAGTGTATTATAAATCCGTGAAATAGCACTATCTAATTAGTACAAATACCACTAGATGTGATTACTTCTATTTAGCGGTTTTTGTGCTATATCACGGATCACATATAATATATGGTTTGCACTCTAAAAAAAATTGTCCCTGTGGATTGTCGACTCGAGTTTGGCTTCACAAAGAAACGCTCAATTTCTTTCTATCGAATCGTTGTATCTTTTTATCGGAGACCTCGGCAGTGTCTGCGACTGCTCTGTTTTCAAACAGCAGGACAGCTCGGCTCACAGTAAACAAGTAACTGTTGCATCTAGCCGAGTCTAAATCACCAATAAACCTGCTGAGATTAGTAATTACAGAATTGAGTACAACCTCGAAGACGAATCAAAATTTCGCAATGTTGCCTTCATTGTTTCCTTTCTCTAAGTCGAAATGTTATTATTATTAATACTAATAAAAAGCAAAAAAGGAGCTGAACATCATGTTGTTGAACATCTTCGCGCCAGTGTATAATATGGAACGAATTACAAATTATTCTTAATACTTTTTCTTTTGGAAAGAGCGCGATCTTCGTGTTCGTCGAGTTTCCTCTGCACAGCTTGCCACTCGCAGCTTAAAATTTTATTCCTTATATTGTTGAACACGGAATTTCATCTAAATTTCACCCCTTTTGGTGTCATCAAAATCTCAAGCTCTCCAGTATTTACTTACGAAAGAATCGAGAATTAAGCTATATCATTATATTTTTTTTGGAAATATCATCGTCAAATGTGATAAAAACTTCCTGTGTCCAAATCAACTGAAGACGTCAACATGCCAGTGATATTTCACTCCTCAATTGAAAATTACCGGAGGATTTGGAGTGATCATAAATAACAATATAAACACAACAAAAGAGGGTTTTTATAGTCTCAACTGATAAAACCCATTTAAAGCAGTGTTTGAACACTGGCGCTTGAATTTTTATTTTTATTCTATTTTTATTTTTTTCGCATTCAAGATCAAGATTTACRAAAAAGTGAAGATTTTCTGGCTGAAGAAAGTCAATCAGTTCTTTAAAATTTGGAGTTTTTTAAATCGCAGAAAAGGTCAGAGAAAGTTTTGTTTACCAAAATAAGACTATGAACCAACTATAAACTATACGATATTTATCCGGACAAAAGACATTTTTGTTCTAAATAATATAGTCAATAGTTTAAATTTGAAATTCTTTCGTGCGGGTGCATCCCTTGAAAACGAAAAAAAATATTTGAAAAATTACATAATTGAAAAGTTACCAATTGAAATTTTACAAAATTGAAATTTACAAAAGTTTTTTTTCTTTCTTTTCTTTTTTTTTTTTTTTTTTTTTTTTAGAAAGAAAATAGCACGAGAAAAGCAAAATTCACGAACCTTTAACACCAAATATGAAAGGTTTGAGAGTTTTAATTTTACAAAAATGTCTATGATCTTGACTCAAATATCAATCGGATGGTCAAATAGTTTAAAAAATCTAAAAGCTTTAAACAATCTATCAGCAGAAATGGTGTCATTTCTCTTGTCTTCGTATTGACGGCCATCAACGGGCTGGCTTGTCTCGCCTTTTTCTGTAAATACTTTTAGGAGAAGATTATTTGTTCACTGCCAACTGACATCTAATTACCCTTCTTGGATCTATTCAGGCCGCATTTTACCCTGACAGTCTTATTTATTTCTAATTTACTTTGAATAGAACGTTTGTATTACATTGTACTGGATGAAAATAAGCGCATAGATATTCTCACACCCGGCTGGGGCTTACACAGCTTACACAGTCAAGCAACTGAGCAAGTAAGTACAATGATTTCCACGTTGCATCTATCTATCTAAAATTTTTGAGGAAAAAAAATCTGTTTAGCCAATATGAGTTATCGATATATATTTAAAAGATTTTTTAAGGTATAAGATTGGCTTAAATTTCTTGGAATATCTTCATGTATATTTACCGCCATGCACACATCAATATAACTGCCTTTTCTCAAGTTACTCAGAATTCTAGACCCGTGAAAAATACGCATAATAGTTCAGTAGTAGACTCTACTAAACCCATTTTCTTTTCTTTTCTTTTTTATCAACTAGTACTAAATAGTCTTTTTTTTTTTTCATGTGTTGAACAGTGAAATTACTCTTGCTCAGAATTTTTAGACATGAGAGTGCCTAGAATTTCTGCAATGTCTTCAGGTATATAGGCCCTCAACTGCCCATCCATTTAGTTAAGAAATTCGAGTGGATAGAATTTCTTTGGAATATCTTCATGTATATTTACGATTTTTCTTCCAAATTTTGAGCATTAGAGTTATCAGAATTTCAAAAAATATTTTTGATGTAGTTACAATCAATATCACTGCCTAGATTTCCTCTGGTTCCATTTACCGCCAGAAAATTCCATTTAATAACACGGTGAGAAATCCTAAGTTCTAGACTCTAAGCTTATATCTTATCAAAACAATATAGACTGAATATCGCCGACAGTTTCTTGGCGAAGTCTCTGTATGTTTGTCTTTATCAGTTTCAATGCCCTTCGCAGAGGGAAACATCAAAGACCTTTGAATTCAAAAACGAAAAATGAGTAAATTATGCATCGTCACTTTGATAAAAAGTAAATTCTTACTAGATTTTATTGTTTTGATAACATGAATATTTTTTCATTACGAAAATAACACCCGAGGGAAGTAGTTAGGAAGTTTTTAAGCGAAAAATTTTGGGAAGTAATTTTTTTGAAGCCAAAGTTTTGGTATGTGTATTTGAAAGTAAGTGAAATGTGATAGTTAAGCTTGAAAGTCATTATTGTCGTTGTTATGCAGTTAAATCCTGGGTCCCCAGACATTTCATGATTTTCGTAAAACAGAGGTCGACTAGTATTAAGTATTTATGAATACTACGGTATTTATTTTGATGTAATTGAAATATTTTGTAAATCACCGAAGCAGGAATCAGTGTTAAAGAGCTTTTTTTTTCTTTTTGAAACATTCGCGATACGAATCAGTTGATCTCATCACTGTTCAAAAACTTCAAAACCATATTCCAAGATTTTCCATCGTCAAATAATTAACACTTTTACTGATAGTAGATAAGGTCCTGAATACATTCTGTATATAGTCAAAGAAGAATTAAGTCTTCTTTCCGGTTTATAAAACTATGCAAATAAATAATAATGTTTTAAATTTCAAATTTAGGAAACTCAAATCAGATTTGAAGTCGACAAGTATCGAACCGGACGCGAAAATAACCGACTTAATAGGATTTTTATTTAATTGGTCATCTGTAGAAATTGTTTTTCAATCTTTGAAATTTCCTCTTGCTACAAGGCTGATAATTATCTCATTTTTATCACGAAAGGAAAACAGAAAATGTGGATATGCGATTCAGTAGTTTAAAAATATATATATCAGTCCAAAAAAGGAAAAAGAATGTTCTTGGAAAGATGTTATTTTGCATGTGACGTGGTTTTACGCAAAAATACGAATCAAGTTTGGAATCTCAGAACTAGCTTTCGGTTGTTTCACTAAAATCAGTTTATTTAAAGAGGAACGCTAGCAGGATACAAGGAAAGAATGATTTTGGTTCTTGGCGGGAGTTTCTTTCGATTAGCAATCATAAAGTTTCTTAATGACAGAAACCATCAAAACCTTGGCGCCGAAACGTTTCATTTAAATGATTTCTCTGGACTAATTAAAACCGTATTTAATGATTTAACTTCAGAAGGGATTTTCTTCTAGACACACTGGCTTTCTCTCCATAAAGACGTTGCCTCGCAACGAGTGATGCTAAAGAAAAAGCCAAAATAAAAGTACGAACAAAAACAGCTTTGAACGAAGAATAAATAAGACTTAGCGAATTCCACTTCCCTTTCTCTCTTTCCAATTTGCCTAAAGGGTTTAAATTAAAATTCGCGGAAGCTAACAAACTGTAAAGCAAATATTGAAAATACAAAGCTTGCTTTACTGTCAGACTACAGCTTGTTTTGCCATTATATGATCTTCAGTTGGATGGACGAATCTTGATGCTAAATGCACTTGAAATTTAAGCTGAAATCCAAAACAAAGAAGAAAAGAAAAAGTGTCACCCCGCCTAATGCTCAAGGTGATATCACTTATTTTATCTAAATAGCTTATATAGGCCTATAAGTGATATCACCTTGAGCATTAGGCGGGGTGACACTTTTTCTTTTCTTCTTTGTTTTGGATTTCAGCTTAAATTTCAAGTGCATTTGAATGATATCTGATTAACGTAAGAAAATTATTTCCTAACTGTTTTCAGATCACTAGCTGCGAGTGGCTCGTTTTAGCGCGACATGCCGGACAGATAAAAGAAGAATGCCCGAATTAATTCCAAGAGCATAAAAGCTGGTTTATTCTGCTCTGTTAATGAGGAAAGCTAAACGGAGCCATCTAGGAATACAGGGGTAAACAGCACCATTAACTACACAAACAAACTGAGGGAAAACAAGACGAAACAGAGCCGGGATATCTACGAATTTTACAGCGGAAAAAAAATGTTTTACGAAGGATATTGGTTTGAAACGACTCTATCAAGTACTATCGTCTACTTTTTCATTTCTTTTGTCACCGTGGCGGGCAACGTMCTTGTTTTCGCTTCATTTATAAGAGATCCTTATAAACAACTGAGAACTCTACAAAATTATTTCATTGTGAACTTGGCGGTCTCTGATCTTGCTATGGGCTGCTTGGCTGAGACTTTGCTTGCAGCTACATATTGGGAAAACACGAGCGACGTCTTCTATGCTCATTATTTGTGTGCAATTGTATCGGGTGTATCATCTCTCCTCAACATGGCTGCACTCTCTGTTTACCGGTATTTTGTCATTCGCAACCCATTCACGTATCATGGTATTATCACCAAAAAGCGTATTATCATCACTATTATTTGCATATGGGTCTATACTCTGCATTTCGTTGCCCTTACTCTCGCTGGTTGGAAAAGTCCCTGGTATCAAATCTACCTTTATGGGTTTGGATGTACACTACCTAGCGTGCTCATTATTTTGACCTACTTCGGTGTGTTCCTAGCTATTAGAGCCCACACGAAGCAACTAAAAACTACTACGGATTCTAAAAGCAAAGCATTACAAAATGCCATCACAAGAGAAAAATCCACCACCAAGACAATGTTGATTATTCTGGGTGTATTCATAACATTTTGGGTGCCATTTTTGATCATTGATGTCATCATGGTGCAGTGCTACCCTTGTCGTTCGATCCACTCCGTACACATAGCACGAGATGTTGCTTTAACTTTCACGTACTTCAGCTCGGGTATAAACCCGTTACTGTACGCCTGGAGAGTCCAACAGTTCCGTAAAGCCTTTATTCGTGTTCTGGGGCTGTCGAACCTGAGRTGTGTGAAGCGTCAGAAAAATAGGATTCAAGTCGCTGAAGCCAAAACGGTGCGACTACAAACTCTTGCTATTCTACCTGAGAATTCTGCTTGGATTCCAACATGACATGTTGAAAGTTTATGACCACRCTGAATCATAACTAGTGGAGAATCAGCCAAATAATAAGATATTTACACACTATTTCTGCTCTTATCCAGGTATTTATTAGGAAAAGAAAAGGGGGGCATCTTGTTATCATGTATACGTGAATTCAAAAACGACATTTACTTCGAAGAATAGCTTTTTTTTTTTAAAAAAAAGGTTGTTTTTGGTTTCGTTGCATGTTGGGCATACCAATTGCAAGCCCGAAAAAATGTACCATGTGAATCCAATCAGCAAAATGTCACGATTGGCAGAACACGAGAAAAAACCTATTACTCACTTATTACTTATATTTCCCCTGTTTCATTCAGATATGTGCGCGTGCTGTGTGCTCTCATATAGCACGCGTTCCCAACCAATAAGAAAGCGAGATTTAGAACAGTTATTTTATAACATACATTTCAAGCTGCAACAAGCATAACATGCAACAATCAACATGCGAAAGAAACTTCAACCTTTTTGAAATAGCTGCCGGTGTATCTAGCAAAAAAGCGTTTTTCCGATATAGTATGGCTCGTAGTATTTATACTGTTCTATTTAAATAATCCTAAAATACGGATATATATCATATATATACACCAACTTTTGTTATACGAAGTCTAAGTGAAGAGAAGAGAAGAGAAGAGAAG